ACAACCTGTGAGGCGTGTTGGATCAGTAAAGTGACATGCGTGACGGTGGACTCGCGAAACTGTTACGGCTTGATGGACACCTGCACTGTGCTCGAGTGCTCGAGCTGCAGCATGGACAAGGAAGGACCACGCCAGAGGTGAATCTGCCAGCAGATTGCGCTTCTCGTCCTCTCCCAGACCTTGACCTTGGCATTCGTGCCACTATCTGACTGTTGAGACCGTTGAAGCTTGCAGATCTGGATGCCTCCGCGCCAACAAGCCTTGGCTCATGTGTGGCATGTACCTGTCTTGTGCGTAAAGCACATGCAGCATGTCGGAAAAAAGCGCGAAGAAACAATAGCTATTACAGCAGTGCCATGACCATAGCATCACACTGCATGCAAGACCTTAAGTTTCGCGCTGGCCAGTACCGCCTTCATCAGGCCAACGCAAGGCAAACCTACACCGGCCTCTTGCGAAAATGCAAAGGCCGGCAAGCGTGGGATTCGTAGCAGCACTTCGTTTTTTTGACACACTCGGATTTGATGTCATCTCTTTCCTGGGCTGGGCCTTGCTTGGAAGCGTCGTTGCTTATGTTGTTTCCAGGCAGACGCAGCCTCACGAACTCGTATCGAAGTTCCTGCCATGTTGACATCCACAAGTTTGCAGTGCATGTGCCTTCGGCTACCCGTTTAAACTGTAAACTGTAAGCTGCCACTCGCGAAATGAGCTGAGCTCTGGTGTGTGGCGCTTCGATGTTCCCGTGACTGGCAGGGGTTGGTGGCTTGGAACTGGAGGCACGGACTTCCCACATTCTCTGGTTGTGGAGAGTTTCGCACCTCGACCACGACGACGCTTCAGGTATACTCCTACTGCGAGATACTCCTACTGCGACGACAACGACTGCTGTCGCTACCGCTGTCGCTATCGCTGTCGCTACTGCTATCGCTACCCCTATCGCTGCCGCTTTCGCTGCCCCTATCGCTACTTCTGCGACTACCCCTACCACTACCGCTACCACCACCTCTAGCACGGCCACTGCGACTACGCTGCAACATCAATTGCGACGATGCGAATGACGATGACGATTACTACTGCTACCCTGCCAGTGCTACAGCTACTGCAACTGCTTACTGCTACTGCAACTTTAAGCCGCTACAGTTGCTACTACCACGGCTACTACGACGACTAAGACTGCTACGACTACTACGACATCTGCGGCTGCTACGGCTGCTAGGACAACTACGACCTTTGGGCGACTAGTACTGGTACTCTACTACTGCTACTGCTACTGCGGCTGCTGCTGCTACTACTGCCGCTGCTACCACTATTATCACTACTACCACTACCACTTCCACTAGCTCTAGTACGAGACGAGCATTACCAGTACCTCCTCCACCAGCATCACTGGCACTTCGACGGCTACCCCTGCCCGCTACCCTACCACTTCTAGTGCCATTACCACTATCACCACGACCACTTGAACGATGACGACGACGATGACGACGACACAACAACCGTCATCCCAACTTCCCACATATGTACTCACACACCTATATCGGGTGTGTATGTATTGCGTGTGTACAGTGTGTCACACTGGAACGTTTCGCTAAATACATGAATCCAGGTATGTAAGTATGTAGGTATGTATGTATGTAGGTATGTATGTGTATATATGATCCCCCCCGAAGCTCACGCCCGAGCTGATCAGGTATTACATCCACCGCAGTTGTACCATTTGCTTGGGTTCAGGGCTCGTGTCATTAAACGATGTTTTCCTCATATCCACAAGACTCCTGCCCTGATTTGAAACCTTCCTGCAATTATCGAAGCACTTCTAAACGGAAAGTTTAAGGGTTTCCAAGATTCAGCTATTTCCGACAATTCCGAAACGTCAACATTTTTTTGAACACTTTTTCAACATGTACAAAGTTTCCAAATTCTTTTCAATGTTCTAGAATGTCAAAATTTCCAAAAAGCTGGGAACACATGCCAAGACTTTAGAACACCATCGTAAAACGAAGGATTCTGTGGGCTTTGAGGGCGGGGGAGTAGCACGTATGTGTATGTTAGGATATGTGTACGTATATGTACATACTTATTTACATATATATATATATACATACACATTTTTTTCGTATATGTTTTCTGTTTAGGTGTTTATGTGTTTAAGCATTTATGTGTTTGTGCGTTTATGTATTTGTGCATGTGTGTCTGTGTATTTGTGTATGTGCGTATGTGTATATACATGTGTATGTGTATATGTGTATGTGTATATGTGTATATGTGTATGTGTGCATGTGTATGTGTATACGAAGGCGTATCTGTGTGCGTATGCGCTTGTGCATGCGTACGTGTATGTGTGTATGTAGATGTGTGTATGTACATGTCTGTGTATTTGCGTATGTATAGGTATATGTATATGTGACTATATGCGTGCGTATATGTGTCTGTATACGTATAATATACTTATATGCATATGTGACTATACGTGTATGTATATGTATATGTGTATGTGTATGTATATGTATATGTATAGGTGCATTGTTTAAGCTGGTCTTGTCATAAAATCTTTGCACATAGCATCAGCGAGTGCAGCGTAGCATGCATCCGCATCAATAGACAAATAGGTACCTATCTATATGTATGTATATATATATATATATAGGTGCGATATATATATATATATATATGTGCATATGCATATGTATGTATGTATGTATGTATGTATGTATGTGAAAACCAAAATCGGATTGGATTGTAGACAAATGTGGACACCTGTGCAGATAGATGCAGACAAAGAGAGGCAGACAATCATCGGCCAGGCTGAGCCTGCCCCGAAGAGCCAGGAGATGTGTCATGCCTGCAGGGTTATTGCCATAGGCATAAAGTACTAGTGTGCAAGACAGGAGAGTGCAGCTGTTTTGGCGCTGGATGAGCCCCTTCGTGATTTGGCCGCCGGCCATGTTCCTTGCCTCGGTGGTCTTAGGCGCTATCGGTGCATCTGCCACGTGCTGGACGACGAGCGGAGTGGCTTGCTCACTCATGTTGTTTCCCACACGTCCAGGGAAATTGAGGTTCCGTGGAAGTGATATGGGAACCAGCGGGGCTTCTAGAATGCACGCAGGCTTGTACAAACTGTGCACCGTAATATGCAACCGTATATGCATGCAGGCGACACGCACATCTGTCTCACACGCATAGGTGCATGCATGCTGTGTACATGCGAACATGCACACATGACCATACACAAGCATGTGCTCATACCTAGATGCATATTTATGTACATAAAAACGCAAGCCATTCTGTGCATGGATGTGGGGATCAGTCGAAGCTTCATTGATCTTGCTTGTGGTTTGTACATGCCTTTCGGAAGTCTTGCCGATGAGGTCAGAAGATGTTGGAAGTGTCGGGAACCTGGCGCCAGGTGACCAGGGTCATGGGGTTCTGGTGAAGCGAGCTGTAAACACTCAGGTGTGTGCAAGTATGTTCCCAATCTGAGTTTCAGCAGCTGCTAATTCCCGACAGAATCATGCACCGTGGTGGTCGCAGAGCCTGCGTCGAGCTTGTTGCGGAGTTAATCGAAGCCAGGGAGACCGGCGCCAAGCCGAATCAGATGGCCTGGTGCGAACCTCGGATCATCGAAGAGGCCATGCGGCAAATTGCAGTCTTGCATGTCCAACGACTCCGTTCTGACGTTTGCTGCGGCACTAGCCTGAATACAGAAGCCGAACTCTTTGACACGGAGACGGTGGAGCACAGGAGGATGCGTTTAGGGGCTCCTTCCCTTCTGAGGTCATCCTGCAGAAGTATGCCTTCAAAGGGATGAGTGCTGCTCGGGTGGTCCAACGAGACATCATGGCAGGCAAGCCCGTCACTGACGTTAGAAGGTTCAGGACCCGCTCAGATTCCTGGTGTCCCGGAAGCTGAGCTGGTCCGTGGACAGGGCTTGTTTGTGCCTGGGTCTTATGTTGAAGTGATTAGTTGAGAATTGGGCCAGCATCCACCTTGTGCTTTTGAATGTCGATGTGAGGATTTCTGCACCTGCATCATGGAATTGGCAATCCCAGCAAGCGAACATCAGATGAATCTTGAGGGGGCTTCTTTTCACGGGAATCATTTCGAAGGGTTCATTTTCTGCGCAGGTATCCCTATCGCTCCGGAAGCTCCATCAGGAGTTCAGTCTTGATCTTGTGGTGCCTGGCCTCTGTGCGAACGAACGGGTGTTAAGGAAGCAGGCTCCTTGTGACGAGTGACAAGTCAATATTTACTGCTGTCGATGGCTCTTGGGAGACGGGCACCGGAATCTGCAAAAAAACTCGGAGGAGGGATGCTGCCTTTGTGTGATGTGCATATCGGCGCGTGTCGGCTTAAATGAGGAGACCAGCCTTCGCAGGACGAGGTCGGGCCCGATGTCTGCGGGTTCTGGGCTCGTGCTGTGAGGTGCCCACAAGTCGGGGACAGTTTTCTTGATCCGCAGTCCCGAAACCATGGCTGCCGTTCAAACAGCAAGGATTCAGCTGAGTCAGTCGTGAGGCATGCAGGTGTGCGGGATTGGATATCTTCAACGACCCTAAGCCCAAGCCTGAATCATAGCAAAGCTCTTGCATGACATGCAGCTCAGCCGTATCATGCCGTATCCTTTTCAAAGCATGTCCCGCTGCTCGTGATTAGCAGTTTCGTCTGGCTCAACTCCAGGTCTCTCGAGTTATATGCGCATTTTGTTGCACGTCTGCATACAAGTCTGAGGCAAAACCCCTTGTCCTGACTTGGTCTACGGCTTGCGGAATTCCCGTTCAACCATTACTTTGCACCCTTCAAGCTTTGTAGATGCAACGCGGACTTGACTTTTTCGGCACGGCATGGCTGCGGGCCTGAGGAGCTCGGGGCCCAGACACATCGCTGCATCGTCGCTTCGCTGTCGCTCTGCTTTCGATCTTGGTGTGACCCTGCGTTGCCATTGGCTCTCAAGGGTCTCATACCTAGCTCACTTGCGCTTGGGCATTGCAAAGGGCTCCGCAATGTGGCGCCTGCCTCTGCTTGCATCGCTGGCACGTGCGGCGCCTTCTGGCGAAGCGGCCTGGGACCTGATTGCTGTGCGCACAGTCGCACCTGATCCGTTCTTGGCAGTGAGGTTTCGAATCTTCCAGGGTATGGCCCACCGCCAGCGCCGCAGTATTCCGGCTTTCTGGATGCCGGAGCAGTCGAGTCTCAACCAGCAAGAGATGTAGGGCAATGCAGAGCTCTGAAGTTGCAAGACAGTGCGAACCATTCGGCAGTGTCGTAATCGTCAATTCTACCACCGCCTGGGAACTCCTGCTCAAGAGTAAATAAATGCCTCTTAAAGGATCTAGCAAGAGATCTGGACAATCATGTGTTGGAACAGGAACCGGGGACTCAGCTCCACTACTGGTTCGCCGCTGCAGAATCTGCGGATGCAGCCTCCCTGCCCGTGGTGCTGTGGCTGTCCCTTGCCGTGCACCTAATTTTGTTGGGGCCAACTCTGTGTAAGAGGTTTGTCTTGTGATGTGACTGACGATCAAGACCTGCGGGCTAGGAGCCAAGACTTTCAGGGATGTAAGAACGCCGGTTCAGGAGGGATTTTGACAAGGGCGAACGATTCAATGCCCAGTCCGTATGAGCAGCGGAGTCTCCGAGCTTATCCAGAATCCAGAGTTCCCTCTGAGCCGCAAACGAGACCTGAGCTTTCGACAATTCGACACCCGGTCGACCGAGCACAAGCTGGCTACTAGTAGGGTGCCACCGAGCCTGCTCCATTTCAGGAATGGCGGACCTGGCAGCAGCTCGATCTTGGGCATGTTGCAGGCACTGTCCATACGAAGGGTGCAAGCATCTCCAAAAGCAGCAGAATTTGCCTCAGGGAGTTTTGAGCACGGGAGATCTTCAGCTGGTATTGAAGTTTTCCCAATTGCGAGCCATCTGCAGAAAGCTCTTGGCCCTTGCACAGGAGAATGGGCCCTTCCTCATCAATGCCACCGGTGGACTCATGCGAAATCCGTATGCTTGGACCAAGCAAGCCAACCTCTTGATCCTGGAGAGCTGGGTCCTCAAGACCAGGATCTCATGCTTGCAGCATCTTGTAGCGACTCTAGACTCCGGATATAGAGATGTTGGGCCGTCTGCCGCTTCACCTGTCTGGTTTCCAGAGTTGAAACAGGTGCCTCTACCCCTCCACCTACAGCACAGCATCAATAACCTGATCCCGAGGTCCTGGAGGTGTTGGATACTCCTATTGCGCGGCCATGAAGGCCTTGTGATTCGTGCAGGCTTTGGCTTGCGAGAGCAGCGTAGAAGCTCTGGAGCCAAAGCTTCGAACTTCGTCAAGCTGAGCTCAGCCGCTCAGCCTTAGCTTAGGGCCCTGGCCGGAGCCTCGATTCGGCTCAGCCGTTCCTACATCAGCCACCTTCCGCCCTCGCGTTGCCTGCAACTTCAAACCTTGATAGTGTGAGTGTTTCATCGGCTGCGTTCCTTCAGCATGCAGTAATGACTGTGCCGATGTGTGTTTCCAACGATCTCTTGGGTCCGATGGTAGAGTGTTCCCCCCTGCGGGTTCCCAAACGGTCTTGTAGCTTTTGACGATGTTAAAGGCTCCAAGCCTTTCTGGACAGGCAGGCGGCAACTGCAACAATACAGATATCTCCACGGCCCGCGCGAATCGTGCAGCGGTGCAGGACTTCTTCAAGAAGCGCCACAGCAGCAGAAATCAGTAAAACAAGCCTCCGGAGACCCCAAATTCCTGTGCTCCTCCGGCAAGGTTTCCAGAGCTGAAGGCCAACGAGTTCTTCATCACAGGCACACATTACGAGCATGCTGAGAAGCCCTCTTCCCAGCATGTCACCGCAAAGCTTGAAGCAACAAAAAAGGAAATAGCACAGCAACGTCTGAGCCTAAGCCAAAAGCTGCTGCCAATTCCGAATCGGTTGCTCAAAGGCGAATCCTACGCAGGAGTCCCTTGGCTCATTGGCTGCTGTCTTTGCCTGTTCGGACGGACCGCCGAAGTTACCTGAGTGCACGGGGCAGCTGATCTTCACCTCCAGCTGAGGTCTACATTCCGACACTGACGCATGAGATTCTTGAAAATGCGCCTGAAGTCAAAATGATTCTGGGCTTGTCTTTGCCTTCTCCATGGCGCACGTGCCAAAAAAACCAGCACGCATGCATGATGTATGCAGCAGGTATTCTGAAATGGTTTGTGCTGCAGCTAAGGACAGGATGCTTGGCACAAAAACACAGCTTGAGGTTGTTGCAGAGTTTGGTCTAGCTACTAATTGAAATACTTGCTCAAACCTAGGAGTTGCCGTTGGTGATCCTTGCACCGACCTGCCATCGCAGAAAGAGTCGATGGACATGTGCCTGAGCAAACATCGCAGCACATCGCACAACTCCGCGGCTTTTGTGGGGCTTCCACCTCTCCTCTTTCTGGCAGCACAGGTTGTGGTATGCACACAAGCACGGCTTCGTTCCTGACAGTGACTTCGACTATCTCTGGAACAACTGCTCAGCAAGGCATGGCAGAGTCCGTTCTTACTCCTGTTCTCCTTGTGTTCGCACACTGCTAGACTCCGCGCCGTTTTCTTCAACCGTCTGTCTGACTTTCCCTAAGCTGAGCTCGTTTCACCTCTTGTGGCTGAGTTTTTGTTAGGCATGTCCTTACATAGCGGCGCCTCGAGGCATCCATCCTTCCTAGCACGTGGGCACTGGCGCCGGTCAGCGGGGCACTGGCCTTGGGCAGGGATCACAGTATATTCTAGTGTATGCTTCTAACCGGTGTAGTGGCGCTCGCAGTGGTGGTTGGTGTTTTGCTGCGGCTGTTGTTGTTTACCGTTTTCCAGCTACCGTTCTCGAATAGGGTATGAGAGGATCGAGTTGTCCGGTTTTCGTGGCGTGTGTTTCAAGAAGGCGCTGGGAAGCCAAGATCGCGCCCAGCTTGGCCTCGGCCACCCGGCCACGTCGATAGCTTTCCGACGCAGCGCTGTCGTGCTCTCTCTCTCTCTCTCGCCCCCCTTTGCTCTTCAGTTCGGGAAGGGCCAGGAGAGCAGCACAGGCATCGGACGAGAAGTGCAAGCTGCTGAACCGACAGTTCTTGGCCACCACATCCCGTGGTCTTTCCCAAGGCTGGAAGAAGGCCGCTTCCCTTCTCTCATCTTCTCTCTGTCAGTGTTTCAGAAGAGACATCGAAGTCTGACCGAGGCCTACATCAACGAGCTGAACCTCTTTTCGGACGCTTCGGCCCTGGACTGGTCTCTGCCAGGCACCTTGAACTACTACACGGCACAGTGGATGATGCGGGCGGATGCAGCTCAGCGATAACAGGGAGAGCTCAGAGCTCTCTGCCAGGGTGGCGTCCCTGGCCCCACATCCCCGTCCTGCGGCCCAGGTGAAAGCAGCTCTGCATGTGGAGAGCTCCCCGGCGACCTCCTGGCCAGGTCCGCCGGATGGCTGGCAATACACCAGCAGCCCCTCGACGGCCCAACAGACAACTTCTGCTTTTGGCCCCTTTTTGGAACTTCCCTTGAGCCGAGAATCCGATGACCCGAGGCTACAACGCCTGCAACGACGCACCGGGCAAGCCGAGCATGATCGATTTCTACCGCATGATCGCTCCAAAGCTGAGGACGACGATCGTTTCTCGGCTTTGCCTCGCTTCGACTTCCAAAGTTGAGATGACTTCTGTTTTTTGGCGGCTCTGGACTTGTCCGATTGGGGCAGCCAAGGTTTTCAATGGCGACACTGACCCCTGCGTCTCCTATGAGGGCACACGCACGGCCATCGAGAAAGTCGGCTATGCAGTGGTTCCCGGTGGTCCATCCCTCAGTGGGAGTGTCTTGTGCTTCTCTCCGTGCCCCCCTCCTGCCGCAATCGGTCCATCTGCGGGAGGTCACTACCGCCCGTGGTTCTACGACAAGACGGCCGCGGAGATCGGAATTCTGAAAGAGCCACCCGTCGTCAGCTCTCTTGTAGGCTCGTCGCTCTTCACAGATGAGATGGGAATGGGCTGAGGAAGCCCAACCTCTTCGGCCCCAACCTCGAGCTGCAGCCTGCCGGGGCCCAGTTCGGTGGCCACGTGGTGGACTACGCGCCGAGCCAAGGGGGGGGCGCTGGTGGTGGCGGGTGCGTCTGTGCGTCGGGTCTTCCATCGTGCCGCCCAGGAGCATGGCCTTTCCTTCGCCACCGTTCACGGCAGTGGACACATGGCGCGAGCCTGAGTCACCCGCCACCCGGGCCGAGTTGGAATAGCCACGCCCCGCCTTGGCCCTTGGGAAGGTGCCGCAGTTCCGTCCCCAAGCAGCTGTCCGCTGCTTGCCCGATACTTTTGCAGATGCCCACCTCTGACGAGCTTCTCCCTTTCCGGCGGGAACTGCCATCGGCCAAGGCTTGCTTGACCGTCTCCTTTCGGGCAAAGCTTTCACACCCCTCCTTCCAAGCGACTCGGCCCAGTTACGCTTTCGACACCTCAAACCTGGGCACGTGGCAGAGTGGCCGAGTGCCCACTTCCCCAACCCAAACCACACCGAGGTGACTCAGAGCTTGCGGCCATGGACGACGACGCCTTTGACCAGGCAGTTGAGCCCTGGCACACAAACAAGGCAGTCTTCTGTGAGGCGTGTCCGAGCTAGGGACTCTGGAGATGTTTGTCTCATCGTCGCGACTAGTGACTAGTGTTGCAGGATGTTGCAGGAAAGACTTCATGTCCTCTCCTAGCGGCTGTGTCAGCTGCCATTGGACTTCCCGCCCCGGCCATTGCACTCGCATCCATCCTGAGGACCAGTGGACCGACAAAGCAGAGAAAGACGTCACTGCACGAATTACTTCCTTGGTTGTTTGAGCCAGGAGCCTCTCATGCTTCGTCGACAATAGGTCGCGAGTGCAGAGAAAAAGCCTCGAAAGGGACAGCACGTTTGTTTTCCTTGGACATAGCTATGTAATGCAATGCGGGGCTTGGCGGAATCCATCTGTTAGGGGATTTGTTTGATGACTGGTGATCACGTTTGCAGAAACTCCCAGCAAATGGCTGCTCCAATCTTGCGACAGATTGCCTAACACGGTTGCAGTCGCAGACCAGATCTCGCTACTCTGACTACGGCTGCGTGTGAAACCCTTGCAACAGTTGCTGTTCCAGTTGTGCACCCAGGCCGATGATGCATCAAAGAGGCCTCGCCCATACGCATGTCAGGGTTCGGGCTGTCATGCGGAAGTTCCTGTACACTGTACAAGAGCATACGTACGTTATGTACCTGTATCTATAATCTATTTCTTCATCTGATTCACCTATATATCTATGTATCTATGTATCTAGATCTCGGTTTATCCGTATACCTAAATGCATATATCCATATACATATAGAGTTCTGTCTACCTATGTATCTATGTCCCTTTATATCTGAATACCTTTATCTATATGTATGCATGTACATCTGTATATCTATACACCCATACGTCTACATGTCTATGTACCATATGTACCTGACTATCAAGATATCTATGCCAATACATACAGTATCTATGTACCTGCTCCATCTCTCACTTTCCCTTCCTCGCTCCCTCCCTCCCTCCCTCCCTCCCTCCCCCCGTCCCTACGTTCCTCCGTCCGCCATGCACGATGTACTGTATCTTCGTCTTAGCAATGGCCTGAGGCATGGAGCCCCCGGCCTCGCAGATGTCGGAGATGCTGCTGGACCCATTGCTGCAGGCAGGGGCGAGTAAGGCTGGGAACGGCAAGTTGAGGCTTAAATTTCAGGTTTAGGAGCTCGCGTTGATCTGGTCGAGGTCTCGGGCCAGTCTCGGGTTTAAGATTTGGGGATGGCTCTTTCGCGGCTTTGCCCGAGTGCATGCCACAAGGCCATCGTGGAACTGCTGGGTTTCGGAGATCTGCGTGGCTTCTTGGCGGCCCCGGCCCCAGCAGGGGTTGATGTTGGTGCCTTGGCTCCAGATAAGCGCGAGGGAGGATGGTTCGGTAACAAGCGCCAAAAGGTTAATAATACTGAAAACGAATGCCGTCCGATGTCCAAAACTATTTGAGGATGAGTGGCGAGTGTCGAATCTGAGAATGATGGGAGTTGTGCGGCTGATGCAGTGGGGGTGTCCATCTGTGAAGCTCAAGAGTTCTTGCAATCCGCTTCGTGCCAACAAGTTCCAGTCACTACATCGGAGCTCTGCTGAACACAAAGAGCCGATCAACGAAAAATATTGGCGTGCAAGCTGGCTTTGACTTCGTCTTCGTACTATGTCATTCTATGTCTCCACAGTGTAGGTTTTGCTTCGGAGCGTGCAAAATCATTTGCAGAGTGTGAGCTCCTGTCATGGACTGAGTTCCACTGGCAGGTGTGTTTGCGATGGTTCACGGTGACCGTGCCGGACCTGGGCGATTCATAGTATGGGTTGTTGGCAGGTCTACTTGCGAGGAGCAGGATATGTAGAATCAGTCTAAATAACAAAACACTCCATTCTTGGAAAGGGTCGAGAATCCAGGTTTGTCATCCGTTGTTCATCCGAACGCCCTTCGAAACGTGTCAGCGGGATGCTCAGCACAAGTGAGAAGCTGCATGCTGCTTGGTCTTCAGTTGGCAGCACGATAGGTCCGAGTGGTTTTCCTTCCTCCATGGCATGTGCTCCTGAGGCAAAGCACCATGTTGATGCTGATGGCGGGGTCGGCATTTCCTGTGCGTAGTCACGTGTCGTCGTGGCCCTCCGCCCCTCCCCCCCCACAGTCTGCATCGCTTTCAGGATCTCATGGCGCGGGCCAACGAGCCCCCGGCTTCTTTGCAGGAGGTGCAGATGTGGGAATTCTCACTCCTCGTGCAAGATTGTTTTACCTGGGAGGATCCAGCAGCAGCTTTCGAGCATGCAGAGGCCGGGCTTCGAGTTGTGGGCAAGCAAAATGCCTTGATGCCAGTGAGTACTGTATTGGGCCTTTGAGTGTCTCGGAGTTGCTATGGGGTGCCCGAGGAGGGGCTTTTAAGTACTGAGCTTCCCCCTTCCTCGAGGTTGAGCTGCAACTGACGGAGTTTTTCGCTTCGCCTCCATCCTCGCTCTCGCTGGTCTACCTCCGGTGCCGGAGGGTCTTGGGCGCCTTAGCCGTAGGGTTTTCATGCCGGGGCGCCCCCCCAACTGGTGACCGGAGGGAGTGCCTGTCTGCTTCTTTGCTGAGCCACTCGCTACAGGTACGTTCGTCGGCTCACCTTTCTCTTCCGGTGGATCCATGTGTCGGCTGAGTGCCAGCTAGGCCAGGAGCCGTAGTCGCCGTAGTCGAGATAACGTTGCTGTAGCCAGGTAGCCAGTAGCTAAGAAAAAGGAGCCGATGAGCCGACACTCCACGCAGGCGACCTTCCGGAAGCACGGCATGGCCACGTCCTGTCTGCCATTGAGGTTCGGACGCACTCGCGTAGGGTTCCTCATGCCGATCCCGCCGCTGTTCCAGGAGGTGAGGCACAGAGCCGGAGACATGGCCTCGGCTGGGCAGCAGCTTCTCTCGCAGATGCCGGACCTGCGGGCTTTTTGAAAGGATGGTCGCTGACAGCTTGGAGATGTTACATGAGCGCATGATGCAGAAGAGAGCATCGCACATTCTCCTACTGCCGCTCCTATCTGCTCCTCGTCGTCCCATAGTCCACTCCAACTCCCACTCCCATTGGTTGAGCGAAGAAGCGGCTGCGCTTTGAGCGTCTCGGTGTTATGCTGTCTCGTGTTGATCCTATTGTCATCGTAGACTATGCTGCTCAAAGGGTTCCGCTGTGCAGCAAACGGTTGCTTGTAGGCGAGTGTGTACACTGCGCTGCTGCTACTGCTACTGCTGGTACTACCTTCGGTACTTCGACGACGCCAACAACCGCTGCCAATGACACCGGAACCGGGTACGAAGCAGGATTGGTCAGCAACATGCGTGGTGGTGTTCAAAGTTCGCAGTATCGTTCATATTGGCAGTTGAATCACAAAATATGGTGAAGCAGATATTCACCATACCGCCACACGCATCATGCAGTATGCATTATTCAACAACGCAGATGGCCGGTGTATTACATGTCACTCACCTTATGCTGATGCGATGTGTGTCTGACTGTAGTTTCAGGTGTTCGGCACATACGGGTGGGTTGGAATGACCACTTCCGCGCGCAGGATGCCGGTCTGCCCAGCCGTTGGGGCGAGTGGCTTGAGCATGTACTGGAGGTCACGGCTGCTGAGTTGTGAGTGATACCAGGTCGTACCTACCATGTTGCTGTCGGGTCCGCCCTGTGAACTTGACACGTTCAGTGTTTGGATTTCGGACCGGTCCGTCGTGCCTGCAACCGTGGAGACAAGGGATTGCCAGTCAGAGTTGCCAGTGTTGAGTCACACTTCCAGGGCGGTAAGAAACGCAACTGCCTTATTCCTCAGGCGCGCGGTCTGCCAGGCAGTCACTGCCAGCAGTTTTCTTGCCAGCGCAGAAGAGTACCTCGGCAGAGTGAGGGACGGGGATGTTGAGGGAATCGATAATTGTGTTGGGGCCTCGTGTGGGACAGCATGTTCGACCTCAGTGCGAAAGATCGCTCCAGATCGCAGGCGCGATAGGCATGGTGCTGTTGCATTTAGGTCTCGACGATCTGGGGCAACATCCTGCACCTCGGCAAGATGGTGTTTGTGCGGCACGGACCACCAACAGAAATCTGACCACAGGTTTTGGCGGTCGAAGGTTGCGAAACCATGTTCGAAAGAACATGTAGATAAGTCGCTGTGGAGCGGGGGATGGCAACTGTGCAGGCATACTTGGCACAAGTGCAGAAAGTAACGAGACGTCGGACTGTTCTCTTGTGCTTGCCAGTGCTGTTTTGTTGAGATTTGCAGCATGCACATCCAGCCCTTCAAAGCAGTCTTAAAGCCCGAGTCTTTTGACGAGAGCGTCCCAATTGCACGCCCTGTCTGCACCATTCTCCACACTGCCACGGCTGTCATCGACGCTTCGGAGAGCCTTCACTCTTGGATTCGTACAGGTTGCGAAGCACTTCGTCCGAATTCGAATGGTCTCCGGCCTTGAAAGTCCGATGTGCCCAGGCAGATGCTGGAAGCTACAGTTCGTCAGCTCGAGGATCTATCCAGCGCTGGAGATTCTTCCGGCATGCTTCTTATTTCTTTCTATATAAGCTTCTCACTTCAGGCCATGCCAGTTTGGTGCTGCGAATCCAGACGGGTTCCGGGCCAGCAATTCTCTCCAGACGTTTGCACGAGCACCTTGTAAAGCTTTTTGCATCGTGGAGTAATCTGAAGAGTAGGTTATTGTGGGCTGCATACAGATCGTGGTTCAATTCGCCACTTGTTAGTCCACTGTCGCCCAAAATCTCTCAGTCTTGTATTCAGACTGTGAGACCCCATACTTGTTACGCTTAAAAGTTGCTGGAGACTGGAATCACCCTTCACCAGCAGGACATCGCAAGTCTTGCTGGGCAGCTCGAAAAGTTTGCCGGCGACTCGGTTGATCCCGTGAACGAACCTGTGACCACCTGATTCATTGTTTTCCTGCCCATATCATGGTCATCATGTTTATCGTGACCAAAAACTTCCAGGAACATGAGAACATCAGTCTTTCAGTTCCATCGGGACCCTATGAGCAGGAGATGTGCTTTAATCATGGGTCCACCTGCACAGAGCCCTCCTTTGCGTCGTCGCAACACGTTCCCTGTCAGTGTTCGTCGTCACAGTGGTCACATGGAAAAGTGCATCAGAGTGGTTGCATGTTTTTCTCCAAGTATGTCACGAAAGCTGGCATGGCAAGGCTGTCGTTTCTGCATAAGGGGTCTGGATGACCAACCCCTCTCCCTCTCCCCCTACACCCGCTCTCTCCGTTGCTGAGTTGCTGATGTTGGATGTGATGGAACGTGATGATGGGTTGCATGTGGGATGCCTGCAGCCCGCTCTGTGCCGCAGGGCCTTTCGTCCCCCTGCTGTCATCCAGTCCTGTCGAGGTCCAGGATGCCGAGACCGAGGCGCGTCCGCACCTCGTGCTTGCTGGCCTTCCGGGCCAGGGGCCCAGAGCTGTGAAGTTTCGGGGCTTTTGGCTTCTCTGCGCTGGGCCGCACTTCAAGGCGCACTCTGCCGCCCGAGCCTCGACCTCTCCTCTGCGCTCTCATGGAGGAGCCGAGCAGATCGTTTCGTCTCGCTTTGAGAACTGGCAGCTTGACGCTCGGGAATGCCTTCTGCAGGATTGAGACTGCGTGAGTTACGGCTGGGACGAATGAACGGACACAGTTCCTCCAGTGCCCATTGGGTGGCAGACTGTACATAGACTCTGAGCATCTCTGAGCCGCAGAATGTTGACGACCAACGGTCTCAGCCCGACATGTCTCTTGAAGAAGAGAGGCAGGCTTGTTGCCCCGCTTTCGCGGTGTGGCCAGGGAAATGAACACATGGCGAGAGCCGCATGCATGGTCGATGCTCCACATCTCTAGTTACACTAGAGTCGGGGAAAGAGGCATTCGCAAGCGAATGGTCTGCAGGCCGATGCATCAGAACCGAGTTGGACGCCCAGCGGTCTGAAGTAAGAACCCCTTCGGAGTCAGTTGCGTTTTGCCAATCACCATTGCCAGTGTTTCCCGTGCCGGAGCTGCGTGCATGTGGCAGAAGGCTCAGGGCCAGTGTAGGTATCGGGTCTCTCCGCTGTGCACTGTCCCGCCGCCATGGGAAGTGTCAGCCACCAGGCGGGATGTTCGTAACGTCCTTGTCGATGCATTGCATGCCGCCTCAGCAGCCGCACAGGCCAGAAGCTGCACAAGCGATCTTAATTGCCTCTAAGAAGATGACGGATGCTCCATGTGCGCAGTATGGAGTCGACAGAGTCGAAGGTTTTCGCAGGTTTCCGTGTTTAGAGCTGAGGGTTTTCTTGGTGAGAGAGTGCAGGTATTCGTGACAAGCCGAGCAAGTCCCCTTTGACCCTATCGATTCAATGAGCTTTTCAGGACTCTTCCAAAATCCCAAGACCGCCGACTGCCCCCCTGTCCCTTGTCCCGGTGCCGCTACTATACCGGGCCAACCTTAGCTGGCCGTGGATTTGGCCATGGGACTGATGTCCGTAAAGCCATGCTTTCGTGAGTCGGTGTGTCTGGCCGCTCAAGACGTTGGCTCTTTCGGCACATGCGCAATTCCTCTCTGCATGTGTAACCTGTGTATGTAAGTATTTCAACATCTATTTGTCTGTTTGTCTGCCTATCTAACCATCTATCTATCTATCTATCTCTACGTATCTATCTACCTATCCATTTTTCTACCTATCTGTCTGTGTACACACAGTCATATGTAGGTGCATTTGCATAACCAAATACATACATACATAAATAAGTATTGTATGATTATGTATAGAGAGAGAGAGAGAGAGAGAGAGAGAGAGAGAGCCAGGTAAATAGATGAGTAAATAAGTAAATAGATACATGTATATATAAATATGTATATGTACACATGCACGTAGAACTGTATATGTATATATTATATATATATATATATGTATCTTTCACTGGGCCAGGCTTCTGCTGTGAAGCGAGCGCCTCCTGTCCGCATCGATCCCGACGAGCTCCCCGCACGGGAGAAGTTCCGACTCATGCAGGCTGGCTCGGTCTCCCGTTCTTGGGCTGGTGGTGGGCGAGGAGGAGGAGGTTTACGTTCCGGTTCTTACCAGAAGGGGCCAAGGAGAAGGAGCCCAGGAATATCGACATACGTACCTCCAAGAATGCCGTGCCCCGTGTGGTGCGTTGAAACGTAGTTTGCATCCTGCGGCTTTGTAGATTGTAGGCATATTTAAGTACAAGGCAAACTGCCCATGATCTCCATTGATCCCCGTGTATGTATACTTCATAGAGTGTACAGCGTCCCCGAACCACACGTTGCAGACACATAATACAAACACATGTGTATGCATATGTTTCATGACTTTAAGAGATGATGCAGGAACATGTTTCATGACTTTAAGAGATAATGCAAGATAATGTAATGTAAGCAAAATGTAAGTAGCAGCAGGGTAAGACCAAGTAACTTGCTATAATGCAATCTATTAGTGCTATAGTACGAGGTAATATTGGATAACATAGTCCAAGATAAGGCGATACTAGATAAGGTAAGATCACACACCACACAATTGTAACATAGTCTGCTGTAACATGGGATAGAATGTTATAGATGGTATCTTATAGCATAAGATATTGTAACAGAACATAATGGAATATAGTATCAGGGAGTGCATATTTCGGTATAACATATTACAATAGAGTAACATACAGGAG